CAAAGATCAGTTGAAGGCTTGGGAGTCCAAAATGGAAGCCGAGGAGGCACAAAAGTCAGACATGATGGAAAGACTTCAGGAGGATAAAGAAAAAATAAGAGCCTTGACCCAAGAAAGAAATGACTTCAAACAAAAACAGGAAGCCCTTGAGAAGGAGAGAGATCAGCTCAAAGAAGTTATACAAGATACCATCTCGATGGTAAGTTGAACATGGCAGAGAAACAGTAGGCAAAGAGCAGGTGACTTTATCATTATGGGCCATATTTTTTCTTTTGGAACTTTTAATTGATTGGGTATGGTTCGGAGTCAGCAAGGATTGTATTCATTGATATCACTAAGTGAAGCCAAAAATATTGTTCTTTCAGGGAAGTTAAGAGTGATATCAGGCACATCGCGCCTCATAAATGCTGAGTACGGCTATTTCCATCCTTACGTTCATTTTACATGTGCGTTTTAGAAAAATGCAACTAAACCATCATAGGATTTTTTGGAGAAAAATTAGGCAATTAATCAGTGGAACGACTTGCCTGCAGTATTTGTGAGTCCTCCAACACTGGAGGTTTTCAGGAAGAGACTGGACAACTATTGGTCTAAAATGGTATAGTGCAGTGATGACGAATCTTTTTTCCCTTGGGTGCCGAAAGTGCCCGCATGTCCGTGCCCACATCCATAATTTAATCCCCCCCATGCCTTGCCCTGTGCACATGTGGGCGTGAAATCCCACCCCCCACACACACTGCCCTGTGCATGTGTGCATGGCTTTTGGAGCCTGGGGAGGGTGGAAACGGCCTTCCCTGCCACCTGTACATTGAATACAATTACAGCAAGTATTAGACCCGTTATATTTTGTGTATCAAATTGCATCTCGGTACTCAGCCTACTGTGTTGGAACTTGTTATTGCTTCGTCTAATTTTCCAATTTCACACCGAATTGGAATGGAATTATCTGCTGCTGCTTTAAAAGAAAAGGTTTAGCAGGTAATTTCCTATGGCAAAACAATTGCCTTTTATAGCCAAGGTACTGAGAATTCATTAATCAGGGATACAAAGCAGACTGATGCATAAGTTGACTTATCACCTGTGAAATACCTTTCCTGTGACCTCGGTATCTCTAAACCTAGTAATAGCTCCATGAATATTCCTTGGCTCTGCTATGCATCTACTATTTTTAATACTAAAAGTTTAAGCAGGGATTAAGTATTGCTTAATCTCTGCTTGGACTTTTCCCTGGCTCTGCTATGCATCTACTATTTTTTATACTAAAAGTCCAAGCAGATTAAGTATTGCTCTAGGGCACAGGTGTCAAACACACTACATCACGTGACGTATTGTGATGTTTTTTTCGCGGAGCTGGAGTGGGGGTGGCCTGCAAGTGATGCATCTGGCCCACAGGCCGCCAGTTTGATCCCCCTGCTCTAGGGTATATCCAAGGGTTCTAGTACTCTTGAATCTGTTTCCCCATAGTCTCGGCCATTATACTACATTGACTATCCATTCAAAGGGATCTTTCCTTAAGAGACTATTGTTACAATACACTTAGAATGTCTTTTTGGTAGCAGCATCAATTTTACATATATTTACATATTTTCAAGTTGTTTGATGGTGGAAGGAGAATGTGGAGGAAGGGAAATGATTCTTAAGTATTTGCAAGGAATTCATTAAGATTTCAAAACAAAGTTAAAAGCGATTACAACATTTGACAACTTTTGATGCTGCATATTCAGTATATTAAATTGTGTTTCACTTATATGCTCTAATTTCCTGAAAAATCACAGCAATCTACCAAAAAGGAAGAATTAGAGGAGAAGAGCTTGGAGCAAGAGGAGCTGCTCACCCTTAAAAAACAACTGGATGAAGCGCATGAAAAGCTGAGTGAAATGGAAGAGCTCAAAGGTCAGTTGAAGGCTTGGGAGTCCAAAATGGAAGCCGAGGAGGCACAAAAGTCAGAGATGATGGAAAGACTTCAGGAGGATAAAGAAAAAAATAGGGGCCTGGCCCCAGGAAGGAAAGGCTTCCAACAAAAACAGGGAGCCCCTGGGGAGGGGGGG